CCCCAAAACCCCAAAACCCCAAAACCCCAAAACCCCAGCAAAGAAATAAATAATAGCGAATCAAAAAATTATAAATGGAAAATAGAATCACGATTGACGAAAACTATATTAAGGAAGTCAGGGATGAATCTCCCACTGACTTATTTCACAACCATCTTCTTCAGAGGGATGATGACCCCAACGAAGAGCTTGAGGAGGAAATTGCTCTCCTCAAAAAGTACCAATCGAAGGCCTATAGTGAGACCATTGACATCATCCAGAATTTTATTCTGGATGCATTTGATGAGGACGGAAGGCTCTTCGAAGAATCTAATTGCCAGAGCGGTACTACCATCAATACTGTCTATGGAAAGCTCAGAGAAGTAGCTTACAAGCATTTGCTGAGAAACGGGAAGAACTATGACTCGAAGACCAGAGCTATTACGAAAATGCTCTTTATCTCCAAGGTTGACGGTGAAATTTTTGAAAATGTTAGACAGGAAGCTGTATATTATTATAAGAAACAAATCGGTGAAGGCAAGATCCCTCTTCCAGAAGAGATCAAAAACTTCCAAGACTTGATCAGCAAGTACGGAATTAAGGACAAGCTGTACCAATGCATCGCTGAATGGTACGTAGAAGCTGAAGTTTCAGTTGATATTGTCAGGAGAATTCAAATGTACGGAATCCTTGAAGGACATCGAGAAAAGCTAATCTCCAAGAAACTTAGGAAAGCATGGGAGCTAAGATCGAACTATTACATTGATCTCGAAGCAGCCTTCCTCTCAATGATATGTTACCTTGGAACGAAATTGCTGGCACAGTTTAATAGCGGATTCTTCGAAGTGTCCAAAATCACCATCATGATGAAGATTATTTATTTTATTATTTTCAGAAGTGCCATTTCTACACCGATAATTGCTGCTGCTCTCTTTTCGACCCTTGGAACAGTGTTCCTCTCTCTAGGATTGCAGCTTCTGTTCAGTAAACTTGCTGACTACAAGAGGATGAGAGAGGTGGAGCTTGCATTCAGAGACTTCAAGGTGATCACCTCAAATCTCACTTGGGACAATCAATTGTTACAAAAATTATGACTAGATTCATGCTTTTACAAAGAACTTGGCATGAATGTCCAATACCAATCAGCCGCATCAGCAATCGAGGCCAAACTAAATGAAATGATTGAAGGCTCCCAGAAGTATAGAGACGGAACTGTGATCAAACAATTTGACAGTGAAGATAAGAAGCTTAAGTCCTTAGTCATTAAAGACCTTGAAGATGAAGAACTAGGTGATTGGATAGAAGTGACTATTGATGAGAATAAAGGTCATGAGTTCTTACCCCCTCCAGACATCTAAACCCATATAATTTCTTCATTAAAGTATAATTTCTCTTTCAAATTCAATTCTGATGGTTTTCTCTTAAAGTTGTATTTTACATCCTCGATAATCGCCCTTAACAAGATTCACAAATAGCCTTCTAAGTTGTAGATTTATATTATCAAATAAATCCGAGACTCAGCATTCTCTACTTTTCTACTAACAAATAGGTATACACTAAAGGGTATTCACGTAATTATCATCTAATCAACCAAAAAACTTCGGCAATTACCCATTTCATAAGAATTATATTCAATAATATTTTTAGGTGAAGGGGTTTTGGGGTTTTGGGGTTTTGGGGTTTTGGGG